TGAGGCTGATGCGGTTGCGGGGGACCAATCTGGTATGACCAATAAATCATTATCTAAACTAGCTCTGATGGAAATTCGCTATTGGTCCAAGTCCAGATAGTTGAGCGGCTCAAGTTCCTTTGCTTTTTTGGATGAAAGGTTAGGAATGGAACATATTCACGTGCTAGAAAATTGAGTTCAACTGAGTGCACACTCAATTGTCGCTACTTTTATCAGTACAGGGTCGCTTAGTACCGCTTCCTGTCATCCGTCTCAACACCCACCACCTTGATCGTTTCCGAGTGATAATTACAACGATGTTGGAACCGTTTGCATAGAGACGCTCATTATTATCCTTACAATTTTCTATCATTTCATACTATCACTTCATTCGGCTCACCATCGGGGTCCCCTTCGGATTCCCCATGCAACGCGTAGAAGTTAGGGTTTAATGTCACCACGAAATCAGCGGTACCCAAATTTTTAACTCCTTATTAACTGTTATCGGTTGTTATCACTTTTGATCAACCACTATCATGTTCCCGTCCGATCGTTTAAACCACTTGTAAGAGTCACTTTCTGTTGTCACCGCAATGGATGCAAGGAACCACGCTTCGACGCCCCTTATCGTGTTTTATCAGTTCCTACCACTTTCACCTTCTTAGGTCCCCGCCTCACCCCACATAACATACATGAGTACAAACATGTTACTGTCAATGCAATGGCGTAACGAAAGATGGCATTAGCATTCCGGCGCACGTTATCAGTTCCTTATCACTTACTATCACATGCTTTTGCTCTCTGTTTGGGTTTCTATACCACACCACATAATTCTTATAAGTGCAAGCACTCCACTGTCGACGTGAACGGCGTAAAGAAATCGATGAAGTATTAGCTCCTATTAGCGCTTCACTTCCTGCCACCCATCATCAGTGTTCACGTTCAGTCTCCTACATAAGCCTAGAAGCGTTTGAGCGCTCTGGGACCAAAGGGAACGAAGTTATGAATTTCCGGTCAGAGTGTCAAACACACACAAGCACACGCACGAAGCTGAGCGAGTCGTGAAGCAGAAGAAGGAAGCATACAAGCGCTGGCAGAAGACCCGGAGCCCCGAGGACCTCGCTACCTACAAGAGTTGCAAGAGGCTCGCTAAGGCTGCCGTCGCCAAGGCGAAGAACACGGAGATGGACGCCTTGTACGAGAAGTTGGAAAGCAGAAACGCAGAGAAGTTCGTCTTCAGACTGGCCAAAGCATCGGGCTACCCAAGACATTAGGGTGGTGAAGAGCGTGAAGAGCAGTAACGGTGCCATCCTGAGGAAGCCAACTGAAGTCAGGAGGAGGTGGGAGGAGTACTACAAAGCGCTCCTGAACGAGGAGTTTCCCCACAAAGACAGCTCGCAAGCAGAGGCGACGGCTGGCCCTATCTCACTATGGACAGGAAAGATGAAGGTTGGAAAGGCGGTGGTCCAGATGGGGTGCCAATCGAGGCATGGAAGGCGCTCGGAGAGTACGGGATAAGATGGCTCACCAGCTTCCTGAACAAGGTAACTGCCGAAGGAAGGATGCCGGATGCCTGGAGAACAAGTACTATCGTCCCCATCTTCAAGCAGAAGGGTGACGCGATGGACTGCTCCAACTACCGCGGGATCAAGTTGACTGCGCATACCATGAAGCTGTACGAGCGACTGGTCGACTCGAAACTGCGGGAGCTGGTCCCGATCTCCCAGGAACAGTTCGGGTTCATGCCCGAAAGGTCTACTTGAATCCAGCCCCCATCCTCCATCACTTGCCTCGCGATGAAGATGGTCGGATGCCATCTTCATCGCAAGGCAAGTGATGGAAAAGTACCGAGAAAAGCGCCGACCCTGCTACCTAGCCTTCCTCGACCTGGAGAAGGCGTTCGACTACCTCGAGCAGTACTATGGAGAGCGCTCAGGGAACGGAATGTGCCAGAACACCTGATCTCTCTGGTGAAGGACATGTACGATGGGGCGAAGGCAGCTATACGCACCCCACACGGCCTAACGAAGGAGGTGGACATCACGGTTGGGGTGCACCAAGGGTCAGCTCTGAGCCCGTTCCTCTTCCTCCTAACACTAGATGTCCTGGTGAAGGGGCTCATGGAGGACCACTGAAGACCATCCTCTACGCTGACGACATCGCCCTGATAGCGGATAGCAGAGAAGAACTACAGGCCAAGGTGCAGAAATGGCAGAAGTCCTGGCAGAAGGTGGGCTCGGCTGAATGTCAAGAAGACCAAGTTCCTGAGCTCTGAAGAGGGTGCAGAGCCGATCGTGGACGGCCATGGTGAGACATCGAAAGAGTGGAGGACTTCCGATACCTTGGGAGCGATCTGGCAGTGTGGATCAGGCAGTGAAGGCACGAATCAACGCGGCATGGATGAAATGGAGGGAGTCCACTGGAATCCTCTGCGATCGAAGGTGCTCCAGAACGCTCAAAGGAAAGGTGTACGGGCAGTGGTAGGCCTGCGATGCTATACGGCAGCGAGTGCTGGCCCCTGAACAAGAATCACGAAAGGCAGCTTCACTCCGCTGAGATGAGGATGCTGAGATGGGCCTGCGGCTGGACGCGACTGGACAGGGTCAGAAACGAGGAGGTCAGAGCGGTCATGCAGACTGCCCCTGTCCAGCTGGGAACAGCGTCTGCGTCTGCGATGGTATGGGCACGTGCTAAGGAGGCCACAGGACCACCCAATAAGGAAGGCAATGGACTTCGAAGCGCAAGGCAAGCGACCGCGAGGAGCCCCAAAGAAGAGGTGGAAGGACGTAATCAAGAAGGACCTAAGTGAAATCACGGCCACAGCAGAAGATGCCCTAGGACAGAGCGAAGTGGCGACGACTGATAAAGACAGCGGACCCTGCGACTGCGCGGGACTAACGCTAGGGAGAAGAAGAAGAAGAAGAAGAAGAAGACTAAGAGAAGGAGGAAAATATATCCTCTGAAATGGGATGAGGTTATTTTAGTCACACAGATAAACTGCAAAAGTCTTCTAGAAAAAACGTTCTCAAAAAGTGAAAGGATGTGTGCGCTTGTGTCCTGTGCTGTGTCCTGCCTCCGCAATATTGACCCCCTTGCGTAAACCACGATATGATATGTCGGGTAGAATCTCCTGTGCTTCGGCTGGAAGTATATTGCGCTATCTATCTGTCCGTTTGCGAAACGTCAGTAAGGAATTGCAAAGCGAAGTAGAGCATTCTGCTTTTGCACTATGAAGTTGAAGAATTTGTGGGAAATGTACCTCTGCGAAAAAAAGAAGAAGTTCCAGCAAGGGCGAGCACACCGCCGACACTCCTTGTGTTCGGTTGTATTTCGGAAGAACACTAGATCGAAGTTTTACTCGGCGATCACTGTAAAGTCCGGCGGTAGGAGTCATTTGAGAGTTGGATCTTCCACAAACGCGACTTTGTTCTTCGAGTGTTAGCAGACTTCGGAATCTCCTTCTGCCCGTGTCCCTACCGCAAAACCCTAGCAACTTTCCCTCCACATTCCGTTAGATAGCGCTAACCGCACGCACATGCTGTGTTCGCATGAGGCGTGCGAAGGCAAAGGCCGGACTCAGCCTTGCTAGGGATTTCACTAACATGGTCCATTGGGTGGAAGTGATAGGACCGCAACTGTAGAGGTTGAGACTATACAGCGCCCGATGCACCTCACTAAGGCGGTGTGGGCTACGATTTATAGCCTTCGACGCCCGGGCAACCAAACTCGCCCACGGTTGATATCTATCTTAGGCGCAGAATTGATCTGCTATGCTCTTTCTACTCGGACCTCACATTACCTCTGTGCAGCGAAGAGCAGAGAGGCTCGTAATTTGTGCGCTTCGACGATATTTCTCCCTTTTTCCTCCTCGTGTGGCCCACTTCGCACCACTACTTTCGTATTAGGCCGAGATTACCACATCAAGTTGATCCTGGCCGTTGCCTTCAAGGAAGAACTACCGAACTGAAGTGGGGCTTGTGTTGAAGAGAAACCGCTTTTACTGCTCCTCTCCTTCAGTGCTCTCCACGCCACTCGTGTCACTCAACTAATAGCGAGCTACATAGTTCATAATGCAGGAATGCTGCCTCATGGTGTTGAACCATTGGTAGCCCTGCCCAGACAGTGCTATGCTGAAGCGCTGCTATCTGCTGTAAAGTGGCTCTGCACACCCTCAATGCTGTAAATTGGCATTAAGAGGAAGATGTGTATTTGCTCTCTCAAACGTGTATTTTTTGTAGAGCACTTTTGACGTAAACATTTCAGGGTCTATCATCAATGATTTATATCTATGCAAGGCCAGTAACGAAGTACAATCAAGAGTGCCTTCGAAAATGGTTAACAATTGACAACTGCGAGAGTAATTCTCAGCTGGCATTTGCAATTCAGCTCCAAATCAGTAGTTCCGAATTTTCGGCTAGTAAGGTGAGGCAAAGTGAGCAAGAGCGGTTCATCCATCTTATTGATTAGACAGAGATTAATAGTAATCGAAATAGCGAAAGTAGCAAACATAGCCAAAGAGTTCAAAAAGGGTAATTTTTGAAAAGTCAGTGCGATGATCATTACGCAATGCAAATTCAGTATGGGCAACTTTTATCGTGATTCAGACCAATATGCGCTTTCTTCGCTTGCACCGTTCATGGCGCACTCTGTAAAATCGGAAGGGCCTTTTGAATTTTTCTTCAGCTCATGTGCCAATGTTCCTTCCAATAAAGCACGAATCCAACACAAATATTTAAGGTCTTCCAAAAAGTCTGTATTTCCACCAAAACTCTTGTAAGCCAGACGCATGGGGGAAGTACCTCAGGCATAACACGAGAACACAATACCACGGTGAAGTACTTTCACAACGGTTCCTACTGGTATTCAGGCGTGTTTCGGAGATAAGCTACTGTATTCGGCGTGTTTCGCGACGATGCTATAAGAAAAATAAACAGAACAGATAAACTCGGACTCCAACAAAGCCGAAAGGAAATTTGATTAATTTCCCTGAAATAATTTTGTAAACCCTAGTCGTATCTTCATGTATTTCGGAGTTCATGTTGCTATTAAGTTGATTCTGGACTTGCCTGGTCATGCTTCACTTATCGACTCAATTCCGAACGCTATTGCTGCCAACGTTGACAGCGATTGTGTAACCGGAATAAAATATCGATGCAGGTGAGCAGTAATTACTTTCGCAAAAGTTTGAATTTACCTTCTGAAGAATGGATTACAGACACGAACACAGCCAACATACTCGACGATAAGGACTTCAGATATGCTTTGCGCATCCAGGAGGAGCAGAGCAACACAAGGTAATTTTTTCCCGTATGTCCAATGTGACCGGATTTGCGACTTGGTAGGGCGACACGGCGATGAGATTCCCTTCGAAGGCCTATTCTCTACCTCATTTTTACTTACTGTGTTTTAATGATCTCTCTGGTTTACGCACCCAGTATATCCGCAGCTCTGATCTCGTGACATTTATTGTGCAGGCCATACTGAGAGTTGGGGTGGGCGTGTCACCGGCACCAGCAGCACTTGATAGATGCGCGCGGATGAGTTGCTTCCAACAGGGATCGCTGGATATCAGCAAAAAGTGCTGGCAACAGCTTCTATAAAGTGCGGCTGCAGCCACGCCACTTCCTGACTCCAACTCTCGGATGTGGACTGTAGAATGGTTTCTCACCACACGAAATAAATTTAACAGGCTAGCACGTGAAGGAGGACGTGCGCCTCATGGTGGCGCACGATTATCTCTCCTGCTTTTATAGTTTTTCTAATAATATAATATAAATACGCCCGTGTGCACTCTCAGCAGTGAGAAATACATATATTCCCAGTACCTGGACGGCTGAATTTCTGACAAACTTCCTTGCACCCTAGATTAACAGCGCAAAGTCGAAATGCAATGTATCCGTCATTGGAAATCTCTTCTTTGGTAAGATCAAACAAGGAAACATACTTTAGCCCGTTTAAACCCCGGTGTTCGCCTAAACCTACGCAATATACCCAGTGTGGCGGCGTGCGCCACATGGTGGTTTACGCAAGAAAAACCTTTTCGTCCGTAAGGTGTTAGTGACCTGTTCCCTCGTCTGTGCAAATGGAAATAAGATTTTATGCAGCGTCAGCAGTAGAACATTGGTTTGGTCATTGTAGAAAGATGTGAAGGATTCTTCTGTGTATGGAAAGCTGTGAAGAATGAAACCAGTCACATCCAGAATTATAGTAACTTGCGAGCGGTTCTTAGATTCTTAGTAACCGTCAACGTAATAACTTAGAATTTCCAACCACTTACATTGATTCCAATTGGGTTTTTACGAATGCTAGTTTATTATTATTTACCAGATTAGTCCCCCGTCAACCGCCGGGACCTTCCTTTAATGCGCAAGCTTTCTATCCTCCGCTATGGTCCCTTCCTCCTGTGACACCAACACCTCCTGGAAGTGACGCGTATGCAACACAATGGTGTTTCATACAGTAGAAGGGACACAATCATGATATGACGGTAGATTTTTCGCTTCCCTTCCTCATCCTCCCTTCCTCTCTCCACTGCCCTCCAGCTGCCACTGCAGCACCATGTGGAATGAACGGAAGTGTGCTAAGCAGGTGTTTATATAGCCCTAAGAGTGTTATCACAACTATCCTGCTACAAAACATTGATATCTCAAATCCTGTAAGCTACCCGATTTGTTAGCGGTTTGTTTATCCCATGAGCTTCCTTCTCACTCACTTCATTTTGCGGACGGACACACATACACACACATACAGACACACAAACCGACACACAAAGTTAGCGCTTTATATAATAATAGAAGGATTTCAGGTGTGCAATACTGGCTCCGATCATGGATAGGCTGTTTCCACCAACAGCGCAGTCAGCACATGCGTAATCTTGTCGGAATTATGCATGAATAAATATTAATCATTTGACTTTATTTGATTCAACAGCACAGGGTTGAAGTGTAAAGAAGAAAAAGGAATCCTAGCTCACTCTCTGAGCGAAGCTCCCTCTTAAGTTCTATCTTAGGATGGATGAGAAGTGTGTTTGGGCAACTTTTACGAACAGCTCAATCCACTCGCTCCAGTCATAGCTACTGGGTACACTACCGCAACTACGACTCGCTCCTTACTCAGCGTCGGCGTGGCAGCCAGCAGCGGAAGGTGGAGCTTGCGGGCGAAGGTGTGGATTGCGGGAAGAGCAAACTCACGTTTTTGGCTGGCTGCAGAAGGGAGGCGACAACAAAGCTCTTCCACTTCTTTTACTAACCGACTCAAACAAGGTTATTGACACTTTAGTTGCCTCTGCAAATCTAGTTGGAGATAAGCCGTTTGGACAGAGCGAGCACCTGAAGTAAGGCGTGAAGTACGACGTTCCTGCCGCAATCACGTACATCGCGCTTTCTGCGATGTGGTATTCAGAGGGCCGTTCAGGAAAAATTAAACATGGTTCTGTGGTTCCCGCATCTGCCCCTATATCATGCAAAAGACCGTTTTCAAAAAGCTCGTCACGCCCTGAAAGACCTTCCTGGTCAGCGGCAGTCGGATGGCCTAGTGGTTAGTGGTACGGTCTGTGAATCGGAAGGGAAAAGGGCGGTGTTCATGGTTCGACTCACCACAGGGTCGAAGTTTTGCTTTTTTTGATTGTCATTTTCCTGTGATCGTGTGTCTCACACAACGTTGCGTTTTTTGCAGCTGATCTAGCTATCGGCAGTAGACCCAGCCAGAAGTATGACCAGAAGCCCAACCTGCCACTGTTTGACAAGGAGGAGAACCTAATGACATAGTCATTGGTGACTTCTCGCCCAATCGCCGGCTTGAGTGTCTACCATTGTCTATTACGGGAAAGGATTTCTCATTCCGTGAAAAGATGACAAGAAGGTCGCCTCCAAATTATCTACCAATGAGCCTGACGGGCTACTGACTATCCCCATGGTCCAACTGTTCGAAGTTGGGACGAAATCTTAATTTTCCCTGAAACTTTCGGGTTAGGGGTTATTCGGCGTCCTGATTACGAATATTCTATTAGTTTTTAGCGTAAACGTCATTTGAATTCGCTATGACGCCATTGGGCGCTACAACGGCGCCGTTTTGGTGTCGCAACTTTCTCCACCAGTTTTTTTAGTCAAAATCTACGTATGAAGGTTGCTGTTGCTCCTAATTATAGATATGACATCTGCTATTCACGCTGACACCCTTTTTCGTAAACTTTGGAACGCGAACAGAAAATGCAAAAAATTGTCACTGAGGATTCGAACCACGGACCACTTCATAACCCCTTTTTTGGTATTCAGAGGGCCGCTCAGGAAAAATGAACTATAGTTCAGTGTTCCATGCATGTACCCCTATATCATGCAAAAT